GGATTAGGAGCTGATCCCTTTAAGATTATGAAAGGAGAAAGGGGCGGCAGCTATTATTGATTGATGTTCAATTCTCTTCAGAGCTGAAATCACAAGAAGAGAATTCTGCACCCTGCGAATACTCTCTTTCCGCATCATTACTGCCGCCACCATTGCTTTCAGTTCGATCTCCAGTATTTGGGAGAAATCAAGATCTGATCTTGATACCAATCTTTTGGGAAAAGATTGATTGAAGTTGTACTCACAAGTCATCCAGTTGATTCTTGCGAAGGGTCAAGTTCTTTTGAAGAACATTGYTGATTCTGCTCCATCCTGCACTATGCCATATTCAGTGGGAGCAGTCTTTGGATCCTTCCTTGGGCGTGAACACCTCCATTGGGAGATACTAATTCTCCGTATCAGGTACATCCTCCCTCCTACTCCTTTTGGTTCAGATCTGATTTGGTTCATGGTTCAAGATTGATCATTGAAAAATATGTTTTTTCTAAAATAGGGAATTCGATTCCCTGCAAAGATGGGAGAAATTTTTGAAATTCGCCCAATCCCTTCCGCAAGACTTAGGCGTCCATGTGATGAATATCCCATCCCTTCACTTCTTACAGGTGCTATATATATGGTCATATGTACTTGTGACAAACCATTCTAATCTACTTTCTCTAATTTTATCACCCATTGGAGTTATTCTTAGGTTCCTTGAAATGAATTCTTTTGTTTATAACACACTTGTAGACTAATTTTCTATTGACAAAGATGTATGACACAAAACCCTGTTAGAGTATCAATCCCCAGCACGATTTAATTAGTTGTATTGCTGTAGCATGAACCGATTCCTCAATGCACTTGTTAAGAAAACAATCAATTCTCTTTACAATATCTGTATGATACATAGCTATGGCGCATTATATACCAAGCAAATTAAATGAACCTCATTCAAAATCTGTGGGGCATTAAAAACTGAAGTTATTTTAGTTGTTGCAATTATAGTTTACGTGTTGAAAACTTGAAATACTCTGGCAGTGGTTGTCAGAATTGTTAAGGCCACTATGTCCGTCATTTAATCTCAAAAAGTGATCTATTACAAGTTAAAATAAGAAAAGAGTAAGCCAAAAGGGCAATAGTTCTAAACTTCAAATGAAATGCCCAAGACAAAGAAATAATTCATTAATCAAGTATTTTTAGATACAAATCACCGATTAACACTCTTAATGCCACTTATGTTGACATTCTTACTAACTAACCACATTTGATATACATAATTTGGCACGTGTAATATTCTCCCTCAAGTTAGAGCAAGAGGTGTAACAACGCCCAACTTGGGTAGAAGGGACTGAAGGTGATCCTATCCAACAGCTTTAGTAAAAATATCTGTAGGATGTAGTTTAGAAGAAAGATGGGCAGTACTAAAGGTGTTGGACTATAGATGCTCCGGGATACTCAATGTGCTTTGTGCGCTCGTGTAACACAGGCTTAGCAGCAATGTAGAGAATTGTTTTATTGTCCCAAAATAGACGCATAGGTTGAGGGTGAGCTAAGCCCAAGTCTGAGAAAAGTCGTTTCAGCCAGAGCAGCTCGTAGGTGGCTACAGCCATGGAGCGGTACTTTGCCTTTGCGGAAGATCGTACTACGGTGGTTTGCTTTTTTGTTTTCCATGACAAGGGAGAAGCACCAAGAGTCACAAAATACCTATAGGTAGATTTGTGAGTGGTTGTGCACCCAGCCCAATCAGAATCACTATAAGCTCGTATTGAAATATCACTCACTGTAGGTAGAAGAGTCCCATGATCTGGTGAAGATTTCAAGTAACGCAATACATGCATTGCTGCATTAAGGTGTTCTTGTCGTGGATCATTAAGAAATTGGCTGAGAACATGAATTGAATATGTAATCTCGGGGCGAGTGATTGTGAGGTAAACAAGACGACCTACGAGGCGTCTGTACTGTTCTGGATGGGCTATGGGAGGCCTAGCATCAGGTGTGAGATGGTGTTATTGTGTCATTGGAAATGAGGCTAGCTTGCAGCCTAGCATACTAGAAGTTTAAGAAATTTTAATGCCCAAGAAATAACGTAATGGGCCAAGGTCCTTTATAGGAAAACATGAACTGAGGTATTCCTTAAGAGCATGTATCTGTGTTGAGTTGTCACCAGCAATGAGCAAGTCATCCACATAAAACAAGAACAAGAAATCCACTAGTTCTTCATCAAGTGAAGAGGGTGCGATTAGCAACACTTTGAGTAAAACCGCGACAGCTAGTGCCTCAAACCAATTACGTGAGACTTGTTTGAGATCATAAATGGATTTGTTCAATCGACAAACTCATCTACCATTAGCAGGAAGAAGTTCATGTGGTAGCAACATGTAGACTTCCTCATGGAGGATGCCATGAAGAGAAGCACTATTGACATCCATTTGTTGCAAATCCCAATTGCGCACTGCTGCAAGAGCTAAGAGACATCTGATAGTCATAGGTTTGGCAACAGGGACAAATGTTTCAATGTAATTCACCCCTTCGGTTTGGGTGAACCCTTTTGCCACGAGATGGGCCTTGTATCGATCTATGTTACCATTGGTTTGTACTTGTTGCGATACACCCACTTACAGCCATAGCTTGATGCTACTAAGGAAGTTGCTGGGCTTGAAAATATGAAGCTGGTTCAGATGGTCCTTGAGTAACGAAATTGAGGGTAATGTAATTGCTGATAGGATAAAGTACGGTGGAGGCCCATGGTTCATTGGGAGGTAAGATAGGACAAATGGAATCCTCTAAATGAGCTGGAGGATGTCTTAACCGAATGGGTCATGTAGGTGGGTCAAGATTAGTGGATGCTGAATTCTTAGGTTGATGGGCCTAAGATAGTGAAGATTGTAGTTCAGCTGAGACTGTGGGCTGAAGCATGGGAGTAGGAATGCTAAGACTGTGGTCTGCTTCATCATCCAAAATAGGTAACGGGACTACAGTTGAAATGAGCTCAGATGATGACCTGATTTTGAAAGGAAATTGTGTTTCAAAGAATGCCACATCTCTTGAGACCAAAAATTGCTTGGTTTTCAAATTATATAACCTATACCCTTTCTACCCATGTGGGTACCCGATAAATATACATTGGTTGGCATGAGAAGCAAACTTGTCACGGCCTTACTGTGAAGTACTAGCATAACACAAGCAACTAAAAACCCGCAAGTGCTGATAGGAAGGCTTACCAAACAACATCCCATAATGTTTTACCATTTAAGATAGGAGCTGGCAAATAGTTAACTAATTATATAGTTGTCAAAATGCTTTCACCCCAAAAACTAATAGGCAAGCCAACTTGAAAGCGTAGAGAACAAGCCACTTCGAAGAGATGTCGGTGCTTGCATTCGA